TAGAGTAATACAAGAAAAAAGGGTAAAGCAATATAAATAACAGGTGGATGAATTGAGATACATAAAATAAGAGGAGGGTTGGAGGGAGGGGGATAGGAAGAGGAAAACTAATAAGGAACTGCAGCAGTAGAATGAAAAATTGTAAAAATAAAGTGTACCAAAAATAGGAAAATCCACTCATGGCAATTATAAATCATCTTAAACTATATCAATGGTGTATAGAAAGTCTATTTGTGTTTAAGTAAAATTATGTAATAAAAGAGTTAGAATGTGTAAAACAAACCAACAAACAGAGCAATGCAAGGCCTCAAAATAAAATACTTCTGGATCTTCTATGCTTTGGTTTCCCATCCTGTTATTTTCTAAGCTTTGTCACTTATTGGTTAAACTTATAAGATAGTGCTAAATATATAATGGAAAAGCTACAGAAAATAAATTTGAGAAGAAAAACTTTTCAAATTTATTACATGAGTATGAAATGCTGAGCTAGGATTTTCACATTTTTAGCAGTGAATAGGATGGCAGACAGCAAGAAGTCTATCAGTTGGCCCTAGTGGCTGATCCTGATTTCCTCACTCCTTGAATTGGTGGGAAAATGTGTTTTTCTTTTATACAATTGATATCAATACTGTTATTACTGTTAATGATGTTATGAATATCAAATTGTTATAAAATCTTGGTAACATTTAAAACAATGAAATAATACAAAATACCCTTTCTAAAAGTCAAGGAAAAGGGTAACAGGTGAGAGAGATAGGACTAATAACTGGCTCCTTGGTGATTAAGAGCCATCTATGCATAAATACAAGCAATGACTTACAAAAAAAAATAATAATAATAATAATTACAATCATATTCACGTTTCCTGTTATATCCCATACTCATGACCTTGATGTCATAGTTCTGTAATGAAAGAGACTAAACTTTGCCAAACAATGTAATCTTACTTATACTTTTGATTTAAAGTCTGAAGGAAATGGAAAACTTATGAACAGGAGGAACTAACTAACATGCTGGACGAACAACTGATTTTATATGAATGGGAAATGGGGGAAAAAAGGGGGTTAGACTTCTTCACTTAAATTTTCATATAAGTGATTTAGGAATGATGTATACTATTCCAAAACTTAATGGTAAGAAAAGAAAGTCTGACTTGGAGTTGTGAAATAATTAGACATTATATCTAAATGCAAAATTTGTTGATTTATAAAAGGAACAAGTATCTGGAGTATACTACATTAAGTATACCCAAAGCTTCAATCAGTTCAAAGCAAGAAGAAACTTGAATTACTTAGACAATATATAAAATCTGCCTACAAGTGACATTTATGAGTCCACATTAATATGTGCTCAAAATCTCAAATAACTGCCACTTCTTCATTATTCTATACTCCAGCCACAATAACTATAATTCCTACACAAAGTCTATTTCAAACATAACATTTATAAAGGTTTAGTTTTTTGTTTTTATTTGAATGACAGTTTTTTCCTCTATAAATAACTGCACCACAAATAAACCATATGACAAGGCTGATTCAAATTTCTTACAACAAAAATAAGCCTAAATTTTAAACTATTTACCCCAAGTGACAGACTCCTGACCACTTTCCTACCTTCATTTTATCAAACAGACTTACAGTATGACAAACTTTCCACTCTTTGCACAATCTTTTAATCACATTAAATTATTGTTTCTTGTGTTTTCCATAGGTTAATCATCAATAGCCTACACACTGTAATCTACTATAAGTATATTAAACTGTATGAGACATTCTCATTCAAATGTTTTTACATTTGGTATCAAATGTAATGATCTCCCTAAATATATATAATTCTGATTAACAAATTACTAAATCAGCCGGCCTTAGCATATATAACATGTATTTAACATTTCTACAGGGATATGAAATTTGTCATGTAATCAATTCATTATGTATCAAACAAAACATATATTGTGGAAGAAAAAGGAAGTTAAAAATCTACTTTTAAATCACAATCATAAAACACACACACAAAAAGTCTTCCCTACACACTCAAAATATGTTTGCTTGTTTTTTATGTTAAACCTATTACATATTACTATAAAACAAAAAAGGCACAATTGTCCATCTTTCTATTAAAATTCTTTATTTAAACATAGACACAGAGGGGTAAGCCTAGTCTTCACACTATCTGATACTTCATGCTATGAGAAACAGGAAACCTCACAAATGCATAAGGTTACAGAGACAATGACTTTACTTAACATTATATGCATTTTCCTTTCTGATAAAGAAATAAGAACAACTAAGGTCTAAAATATGTATAATTTTCCTACTTTCAAACACACTATGTACTTCTTTTAAAAGTATAGCAAAACACATCAATACCCTTGCTCACAACTGAATAATGGCTTACTGGTTGTCTCTCTTTCGAAGGTCAAGTGTATTTTAATAAAGCCTTCTTTTTTACCATAATTTTAGCAGAACTTGAGGTGCCTTGGCTCCAATACAGCTATCAATATTAATCTAAATTTGGATGAATGAATAAAGGACCTTGACATTGTTTTTCTATGTTAAACCTATTACATATTACTATAAAACAAAAAAGGCACAATTGTCCATCTTTCTATTAAAATTCTTTATTTAAACATAGACACAGAGGGGTAAGCCTAGTCTTCACACTATCTGATACTTCATGCTATGAGAAACAGGAAACCTCACAAATGCATAAGGTTACAGAGACAATGACTTTACTTAACATTATATGCATATTTCCTTCCTGATAAAGAAATAAGAACTAAGGTATAAAATATGTATAATTTTCCTACTTTCAAACACACTATGTACATCTTTTAAAAGTATAATAAAACTCCTCAATAACCCTGCTTACAACTGAATAATGGCTTACTGGTTGCCTCTCTTTCGAAGGTCAAGTGTATTTTAATAAAGCCTTCTTTTTTACCATAATTTTAGCAGAACTTGAGGTGCCTTGGCTCCAATACAGCTATCAATATTAATCTAAATTTGGATGAATGAATAAAGACTTGACATTGCTGTTCTAAGGGGCATCATTTGGATGAATAATGATCTCTTTTCCTTATCCTATATCAAAACAAGATTAACAAATCTGTATTGATGATTATACATAGGCCTATTCTTCTTTTATAGAAACATTTTGATATAAGTATTTAATAAACAACAGCAGTTATATAATCAACAATCTAGGTATATCATTGTACACAATTCTATGTGAATGTACACTCCAAAAACATATATGGTAATATCTAAATAATCAAGAATATCCTAAATATCATTGAAATAACAAAATAAATAATAGTTTCTTCTAATAATAAGGATTACATTTCCAATCAAATCCAATATACCTAAATTGAAGATTACATATGGAGTGACTGAGAACAAGTCTAAGCTCATGCTAAATATATCAAATGCTTCAATTTGATGGTATTACATATAGATACTGCCTTATATGAAAGATATTCTTATAGCATGGTAATAATAGTGTGTATTACAAGATGACAGAATAATAAATAAACAGTATGCTGTGTTTGGCTCTGACATGTCAGAAAATGACACATGCCATACATATTTCGTATATTTATTTAGAGGACCTTAAAAGTGTAATCATCAGAAGAAAGATATCTAAAGGTGAAAAGTAACCGCTTTTCAGGAGATGAAACAACTGCTAAATTAACAATCGCAAAACAGAATACTTTAAACAGAATAATCAGCCCCAGAAGTGTACATGTGACTTGCCTTTTCAAATAAAAATGGTCATTTGGAACATGCATTTCAACAATATGCTGTGAACTATTGTAAATACTACAATTTACAACCTAGCAAAAAATATGGAAACATATTCCATTGAGATGTCAAAAGGACACATGAAGAAAATTATTTAAAAACAAAATTGAAAAGGATCTTCATTGTCAGTTCTTTCAATACATATTATGTAAAATGAAGTATGGTACAAATGTCCTCAAATGGAGATACATAAGTTAATAAGGTCTTCAAAAGACTAAAGCTGAAATGCACAAAAACAGTTCTGAAAATAAATTCTAAACGATAATTAGCATTTATCAATACCAACAGATGGTGGTAAAATATGAATTTTATCCTTTTCTTACTTCCTCAATATAATTAAACTTAGACATAACATACAATATGTACTTTAACTATATAAGTTATGAGAATAATTCCAATATTATTTTTTTCCTTAAATATCCATATGCAAGTATTATCATGACAGGCTAAACAGTAAAAACATGTGAAAGGGTAACATAAATAAAAATCATGTACATGTGTCAACTGTATCATCACTACTGGCATCAAGGCATGATATTATCATAAAACCATATGAAAATATTGAATATAAAGGGAATGTGTCCAAAAATATTAGAATAAAGGTCCTGAAAAAAATAACCAATGTGCTTACAATTAAATGCCAAATAAATCCCTGAATTTAATGCTTTGGAATCATGATGAAATGTGCACCCCAATGCCCCCAACATTTCCATTGCACAACTGGTCCTCCCAACTCCACCAGACAAGCAAGTTATTAACCAAATCAATATGACTTCCCTCGTGGCATCACTTACGTGTCCTGGACGACCCTTGGTGGCACCCTCTCGCCCTTGGCACTCCCACTTGGCATTCAAATGGGAGTTCACACTTGTTCATCCTCGTTTATCATGTGCACCCTCACTTGACACTCTAACTTCACACTTGTTCACCCTTATTCGCCATCACTTGGAATTCGAACGAGGATTACCACTCGCTCACACTCGTTCACCCTGACGTAGGCCTCTTCGCGTTGAATACTGAGAAATTGCGATTCGCTGCGTCTCCATAACAGGTGCATCTCTCGTTCCCCCCGTTCATATCTGGCTTAAAAACAACACCTGCTTCCGCCCCGCCTCTCCCGGGTGTCGAGGAGGGCCGGCTGGAGCGTCTAGGAGCGGTTCTCGGGACTTGTGGAACGCCCGAAGCCCGATCCCTTACCTGGGGAAAACTTCGAGTCCATCTCTGCCAGCGAAGCGGAGGAACCTGGCGACGACGTATCCACGAATCCGGGGAAATTCCGAAAGCTCTCTCGATCTCTTCCTAAGACACTTCGGCCCTCGAGCTGCGTAAGAATGCACTCCTCTCGTCCTCCCTTCACGTCATCCCTCAAGCGTTTTTCATTGCGGATATCGCGTTTAAGGTGGTCACTCGCTGCGTCATCTCTGCCCTCCCCCGCGGCCGCCATAACACTGGAGGGCCCCGGATGTCGCTTCCCGCAGGCGCCGACAGAGGGCAGCACCGACCCCTCGATGCCACACGCTCGTCCGTCCAACATAAGGCCTTTTTATTGGCATTAATCTCTCCTTCAGGGATCAAATGACTCAATGAGGATGCTCAATGTCCAACTGGGATGAATGTTCAATATTTTTTGATAACTCGATGCGCTGCGAGCGATAACAAATAAACAAGTCGCTCCCACCCCCTCCGAGAAGCATCACAGGGAGCATGAAGTTCGTTGGCTGCTGCGTGCGTCATCTTGTTGCACCGCCTAATACACGCGTCTGTGAAGGCTGACGGATGACTCGGGTGTTATTTCACCCTACTTTTGATTGTATCCGACTATTTTCGATTCCTCTCGCGATTGTATCCGACTATTTTCGGTTCCTCTCGCGGTGGGATTCGACCTCGTATCGAGCTTGAACTTAAGACCGCGAGAGGTGTATTACAGTTTTTTTTTTAAATATTTGCCCCGGATTAAATCGATATATATTTTTGTTTCATATCGCAGCACTGACTCGGAGACAAATAAACAGCATTTGCCCTTGGGTCGTATTGAAGGGAGCGTACGTATCGGTCAGAGGTTAAAAGGGTTACGGTAATGCAATTACTATGTCCCCTTCCCGGAACCAAAATAGCAAAACGGAAGAATTACGGTGTCATTATTTCGTTATGCTTGGCGGCATTCACCACATGCGGCAACATAATGGCTGAGTCACATCACCGCCCTCGCATGTCACACCACGCACATTCTTCGACTTGTAAAGCAAATAATCGATTGCCTTGTGACCTGTTACGCAACTTTTCCGTATGTCACTATCTTTTACCGTGAGCGGAGGGCGACTGGCGTACAGGCATATGGTTTACATTCGAAATATGCATTATACGCAGATCCATTCAGTTTTACACACACACACACACACACACACACACACACACACACACACACACACACACACACACACACACACACACACACACACACACACATGCACGCGCACCGCAGAGAAACTGCTTTCTCTTATATGTAACCGACAATTGATATCAAGAGGAAAATCCAGACAGAACAAACAATGGTGTACACACGCACGAACACAGCAAGGAAAGAGCGTTGCAAGGATCCTCGGAGCCAATCCCTTGAATGCACACGTGACATCCAGCACGTCCAAACGCCGGTGCAGCAGCAACGGGTGGCGACATAGGAAGATCAACTGGGAATATGTCAATGTCAATATGTAATAATTATATGCAGAGTTATTAGAAGTGGTGTATTTAAAGCATAGTGGCAAATCGCCTGTATTCACAAGTACACGCATGCACTGTTCGGGGCGGCATTTATTTATATCACGCTCGTTTTCCCGCGCTATTATATGTCATCAACATTCTTTCGCCATCGGCGCATCCTCTCTGCTCTTCCTCTGTGCTATAGTCCTTTTTAAGCGGTTTTCAATATTAAGTAACAACAATCTCTCACAAGCAGACCTCATGACCCAGCATTAAAGTGAAGGGGAAACAAGCGGCGGCCACCCACACCCTCCCACATCGAGCGCGTGGGAGGGAGGGGCGATCCACGCACGAGCATGTTTTGGCGGCAGCTTTCCCGGCTTATCGGTTCGCTCGATATCGCGATAAGCATGAGGGAACGGGTGGGAGGTCGAGATCATGATCACCGTTGCCAGGCTAGTAACGGACCTAGATCTTCATAGATAATGTTGAAACTTGTAAGAGACTTGCTATTTGAGCCATGGGAGTAGTAGCATGCTCATTATGTGATTAGACATAGCATGGCTATGTCCAAGACTAACGGAAGCTTATGTGTGTATTTATTGCGCTCTGAATGTAATAACTGCGTTTATAAACGTCATTGATATGCTGTCATAATGAATATTATGATATAATCGTTATTAATATTTTGCTATCCTTACTGCATGGGGAATAACCTTTGTAATAATAACTTGCAACTGACCAGATACAACACGTAGATTGTCCATTCGTACTGCCTGACACTTATTCACGGGTGTTATGTAAAGACCCGGCTATTTTTTGTACATATTATTAGATGTACCTAGTTGTAGCTGCTGCAGATGATCCAGAAACTCCGAACACTTGTGAGAGGGAACTTGGCCCGGCACCAGACATGCATACACATGTAACTGCTGTGCACCACCGTGAAAGGATATACTGTACAGTAAACCACGGAAATATGGATGAACATTACACAACTGAAACACGAGTGTGCAGAACGCCGTTGGAAGAAGTTTGTATAATATTGTAACGCGAGAAAGGTTTAAATGTGTAATATGGAGAATAAACTTTTGAAAGAAATGTGCTTGGTGCATCTTTGAAAGAAGGATGTACAAGCAAAAATAAATCAAAACGCGTAGTATCGCCACGTGTTTTCAGACGTACTGCACCACGTGTTCTGTCCACCTCTCCACCCGACCCCCCCCCCCACCTCCGCTCGACCGTTTTCTCACTAATTCTCCAGGTCAACGGTAATAAAAATAAAGCTGGACGCAATAACACCGCATGTTCGAAACTAACATATAATCTCTTTGGTCTAAGTTCTATTCGCAGCTTGTGCATTGGGTATGTGTTAATATGACACTCTTGGCTCTTACGGTGTGTGAGTCTGAACAGATCCTGGTAAAGAACAAACAAACAAACTTACCAGTTACTTGTCGAGTGATTAGCTTGATGGGAAATGCGATACACACAGAAAGAGCAATATGAGGATTAAATTAAACATCGGAATTATATCTTGAAATAAAGTAGGCAGTAGGCTGGCGATGGTGTGTGTGTGTGTGTGTGTGTGTGTGTGTGTGTGTGTGTGTGTGTGTGTGTGTGTGTGTGTGTGTGTGTGTGTGTGTGTGTGTGTGTGTGTGTGTGTGTGTGTGTGTGTGTGTGTGTGTGTGTTTGTGTGCTGTACGCGTGCTTGCGCTTGTATTTCTGGGTGACCGTGCGTTAAACGTCGATTTTCAGAGATACACTAGTTAACCGACGCATGAGAATGAAAATTGAAGCGTATTTACTAGAAGAATTAATAAATAACTACATTTCCTAAATAAGTGACCTGCATGCCATAGTGTAATAAGTGAAAGAAATCAAATCGCCAACTGAAGGCATTAACAGTAACAAGAATGAGAGCCGTTTACCTTGAATGAAGCTGGCACGAATGCTTCCTTGGGCAGGCAGTATACATCCACAACGACCGGGGGTTTGAGACGGAGGGGGACGGGGTATGTTGACCCTACCTGCGTTTTAGCGGGACTCTAGTTACCTTACACATTAATGACATTATAATAACTTGTTTACTCAGGTTAGTATCTTATATTGTTATAGTCTCAAGGATTTGGGAATATTTACCTGCTCGTTTCAAATTGATGAATCTCCTAAACATGACCTTGATTATTGCTCTGGTTTGCGCCGCTGAGTAAACAGGGCAATAAAGGGTTTCAAAGAACCACAGTAGCTACGTTGATCTGAAATGCTATAGATCTAAGATCCAGAGGTTACAGCACCGTCCACGGAATAACATCGGGGAAGTCCTACAAAAGGATGCGCCACGAGAGTTCATTTTCTCTCATAGTAGAAAATACTCCCGTTAGGTTAGGGCGAGCCCGGGCGAGGGAGCGCGGCCAAGGCGGGAGTGCATGCTATAGCAGCAACCCGAACCTGTCAGCACTCGCAGGACTTGTGTGACCGGTAAGGAGTGCGCTCTTATTATGACGTATGACTGACTGAACGTAATAGAAAGTGTGATTGGTTGCTGTGAGGTCGAAGGTACAGGTTATTAAAGGAAGCGGAAATGAAAAATTCTCATTTTTTTTTTAAATGCATTTCATTCAATAGAGAAAATGCATGTTCAATATAATAAACATAATCTATAGTAGATTTACTGAATAAAGTTCAGCCAAACATTGTCCATAACTAAGCAATTATACTGCATAATCCACATTTACGTCTTGCTGCATATAAAGAAATGTAAAAAAAAAGAAAAAAAAATAGTTGGCGATGGTAATAGGAAAATAATATCACATTAGTTTATGGAATCATTTTGATACTGTAGTTGCCAAAACAGAGAAAAAGTTCCTCGTACAAGAACAGACACATATTGGCAGAGTCTTAATTAGGATATTCAAAATTTTCCGACTATGGTTCTCAATCTTCTCTGAAAATAACCGTGTCCGTGCGCACGTATATGCAGGGTGTGAATGCGTGTGTGCGTCCGCGCTGATACAACACTAAGGTTTGAAAACATCTGTGCCGCGGAAAGTCACCTTTCTCGGAAGTACCTCCTCTCTGTTTCCACAGGGACTATGTGCGGAACAGGTGTATACACGGATAATCAATACGTACACACACACACAGACACACACTAAGATCCGCACACGCTCACACACTTAACCGCGAAAACACACGCAAAGATTAAAACACGCTCAAACTGTCACCACTCGAGTCAACATTTCGTTGAAAATGCGAGACAATTGTCCACTTTCCTTACGTACTGTGTTTGGAAATATATACATACGAATAAACAGCAGTGGGAAATTATAACCCAGGTTGACGAAGGCGGCGAACCCATTCTTTATTGTGCACGAGAGCACCAAACTCACTTCCTCCTGAGTTATACCTGGCCGGAGACGCGGCAACTGTGTTTGTTTGTTTCATGTGGCTTGATTATTGCAAAACGAAAACCTGCTTTCTGTAAATACAAAGTTTACTTAACACGTAAATGTTGAATAGCTCATTACACATCATTTTAACGGTGAATGCACGTTGACGATTTCTCTCTCTTAAAATCGGAAAGTTTACTAAAACCAAGCGACACGCACACGCTGATGAGAGGTACACAGAGGGGGCGCGATGAGGGAGAGGGGGCGCTGATCACGAATTTTTGGTGTTTCTACGCGACGATTTATCATAATGGAATAAAAACTATGCTACGAAACAGGGGAAAGAGGAAGGAAAAAGTAGGGCGGGTTAAGTTACGTGGAAGGTGTTCGGATTGCGGGAAATTGGGGAGTTTTTATGATCTTCTTCCCTTCTGAATGCAAA